ATTATTATGTAGAGAGAGGCAAATTGCTAACCTTTGTTATCCTTGTTAAATCATTTGGTTTTACAGATGAAGTTGAGAAGATCCGATAAGTTTGAAATTGTACAAATCGCATATCATTAAAAATGCCGTATACTTTCTGCTCTCTTCCGCTATTGGTTTTTGGTAATACCCTGAGTTAAGATCAAGATCGCTTTTTGTTGTTTTTCGATACTTAGTGAAGGAAATTTTTCATTGATCATGTAGTTATTGATACATCGATAATAAACGCCACTGGTCGTTTTAGCGTTGGTATCTGATTTTGCATGATATACTGTTTACGCTGATTTTTTATATTTATTTTATTTTTTATTTTATTTTAAACATCTTATTACTAATTACATAATATTACAAATTTTTATTTTAATTATACATTGCATAAAATAAAATAAAATAAGTAAACCTTATATCACGAACGTCATTTAGATCAATGGGTTAAATTTCATTGGAGTGAATGTTAGGTGGTTTTTCAAGAAAGTGGTTCAACTTTTGCAGATTACTAAAAAGAAAGGTGCGGCTTTTACTGCAAGCTATTGAATATTAATTAATGGCTAGACGGTCAGTTTTTTTAGACGGGGAGTAATGGATAGAAGTGCGAGATTCTTTGCTAAGGCATTAACATATTCTGTCAGTCTTTTATTGTATTTTTTTCTTATATTGTCAAATCCAGCATTAATTACGGGAATTTGTAGATCTCGGTGGATACTTTAAATCCTTATATACTATGGGGCACCAGTGGTTGTTTTCAGTATTTTTGACTGAGCTCTTTGCACAATTTCAATATTTGAAGCACTAGCATTACCAGATAGTTGGTTACCCTAAGTCCATATTGATTTTATGATGGTGTTATACAAAAGAAGTTTATACTCCAAGCATAGTGAGGAACTGTTATTAATGAGCCAATACAACTTAGAGACTTGAAGCTTTATCTGAATTTGTTTAGCTTCAATATGCTTGCACCAAGTTAGTCGTCTGTCTAGGAAAATACATAAGTACGTTATGTTATCTGCTTGTTGTATGATAATGTTGTTTGGTGTAATTGTTGGAGATGTACTTCGATTTAAAGTAAAAGTGATTTTATCATTTTACTAAAATAAAAGTATTTTAGTTCATTAATTTTAATGCGCT